TTGATAATAAATTTAAGTGACAAGCCTGTCAGCACTCACGATCTACAATCAAAATCATAACCGCGCGAATTCAACCGAGTTAATTTATTAAGAAGTCAAGTTATTAAGAAATTTAATTATTTAAGAATTTATTAAAAAATATTATTAAGAAATTATTAAGAATATTATAAAATATATATATATATATATATATATATATATATATATATATAATTTTTTAAGTGGATTTACGTTTCTCTAACTAACCCAACAAACACCAAGCAGCAGTTAATAGTTATAAGTATAATTGCTATGTAACAATATAATTGTTGTGCATTAAATAATAATTACATTGCTGAGTGAGAAATTATAACTAACAATTATATAACAGTTACTTGATGTTTGTTGGAAATTCATTTTACGAGGTAAGAGTTAAAAAGCTAGAGCCAAAAATGTGAAAAAAAGTCCGATTTTTGTTACATTAAATTTGACCTTACAAAACAAATTACAACAATATTTGTAACACGCAATTGTACAGCTATCAATTTCTTCCACCTGCATCGGCGCATCGGTCGTCGATATAGGTATGAATCGATAGCGCGGTAATTATCGAGCGGAACGCATAATTAGCGATTGAACTAATTAACGGTTAAAACGCATAAGACTCATTACGCTCGCGAAATTCCGAAGCTGCGAGATATGGCCCCCCGTTCGCGGTTCTGATCGTGCGCGACTTTGATTCTCGCCTCACGGAGTTTGCTTCGATACTTAGTCGAGACGATAGATTAATTTGTACTACGCGAGCGTGTTGTATCTTCCGAAGAATATAACGCGATTAAACCAACTCTCGATACGCGCCGTTGAATCAGGCGATAATAATTGCGGCTCGCGAATTACGCCGCGAAATAATTAGCTGTGTGTAAGCGAGTGTCCATTCGCGTGAGATAAACCGACCTTAGCGGGCTTTAATTTAGAATAAGAGTCTCTAATGTACTTTCGAAATTGTTTTCGCGATTCTACGACTGACCTTCTCTATTGTCGTATAAATTCCACCTATCTGTCGTTCTAAACTGAAGATATTTGCTTCTCGATCTTCATTTTAACGCAGTAACTTTAATTAATAAAATCACCAATGTATTTATAAAAAAAAAGTTTAATTATTCGAACGTGATTGTACAAATAATACGAGCAGACGATTCATAATCGCGTTACCTATGCGCGTTTATAAATGATATATTATTTTCCTTCATAAATTTATGCCGGTAAAATGTGATAAAAAAACGCGGCTTACGTTATTTTAAACGCGCGTAAACTTTCCCTCTGAATTTTTCAACGGTTCCGCCACAAAGCTGTCGGGAGGTTCGCTACAAATTGATCCTAAATTAAGCGGCGCGATGTGTAACACGTTACATTGCATTCTGGCGGTGTATCTCTCGTTAACGAGAAGCTCGAGCAACATTTGTAAAAGTGTTATAAATGGAAATATTAAATGCGATCCAAGATGTCTCTCGCAATTTTAAACATTTTCGCCTCTTCTTTTATTACGCGGACGAAATGACAATTGTCAATCTACTCGAATTGGATTCAGATTTAATTAGCGCGCTCGATAAAAGCCTCGAAATTCCAAGACACGGCGAATCGTGCGTGCACGGTCCCGCGTATCGATCCCGCGTGCAATTTAATTTGCGAATTCCCCGTCGTTTCGCAGAAAGCGAGGCATCGTTTCGCGGAAAACGCGACCCGGCTGGCTCTAATGACTATCCTGCGACGCGACAAAATCAGTCCAGCTGATTGTGAAAAATCGCCGCCTCGGACTCGATTCTCACGCGATATACTTTCATAATCACCTACAATGTGTATATTATGTGTAACGGTGTGCGTTTTCACGATCGTCCCTTTGCCTCGCGAATGAAGCGGGAGAAGCGCTCGCATAGAATACAGAGACGTATATTTGTGCGATAGACACACAGATACACACACAAGGAAGGGAGCACCGATTGGCGTGACGGTACGTTGCATTTGCGCCACGCGCGCCCCGATACCGGGTGTCCGAGAAGCACGGCTGATTGGCGTCCGAGCTGTAATTGGCCGGCCGTTGTCGGTTTGATCGACGATAGGATGCGCGGTAAGAGCTCTTTGAGAGATAGAGGCCTGCGATTCGACGATGGAAATTGCGTTTTGTACTTTGTACTCGCCGGGAAAAGTCGTAAAACGTGCATAAATTAAGGGATTCGATGGGACGGAATGTATTCTTCACGGCGATATATCGTGATAAACGAAAAGATCCGATCTCTCGATCGGGTAATGTAAATTATTTAGAGGAAGGTTCTCTTCGTCGCTCTGTAATTTATTATCATTCTTTATGTTATAATTTTCTTATAATATATTATTATTCTCAGCGCGAGGAAAATTTCGAAGAAATGTCATCAGGCAAGATCGGCGTTCACGGTTGTTCGATGACGAATTATAGATCAGATCCTCCGAGCTTTTACTCGAATGAATATCGAATATTGTTTGCTAAATTGATGAACGAGCGAAAAACATAAGCTCACGCTGGCGGGCATATTTCTGCGATGTTAAATATTTATTCAGGAAATTAACATCCGTCACACGCTTCGTACTATGGCGCGTATCTGATAATTGTTTCGACTAGCATAAATATCTCGTAATTTGTAAAATCCCGCTGATGATTCCACGTCGGAGCATCCGGTTGGCATCCGCGAGACTGAAAATCGCGAATCTTTTCGACGGAGGCAGCTACGCCGACGTCACGCGTCGTGATAACAGTCAACTATTCGGCCTTTGGATAACGAAGCGAAAAATTCTCTTATCCTTATCGCCAACACCATTCCGGGGAACGGAGCGGGATTCTGACTGACATAATGTTGGTCAGAAATCAATGCCTCTGAGAGATGTTAAATGCGGGGAAAAATGCCTTCTTTTCTCCAAGGATTATCTGAGACAAATAATGAGTGTGCGTCTCTCTCTCTCTTCTCGATGTATGGATCTGCTTTCGTTATTGGGGGGATACGTCAAAGATTTCTCTTATCTTTGAGGAGCGTTTCAACCGAGTAATCGCTAAAGAGTATATTTGGAAGGAATTGTATTTCAATCTGCGTAGCGTCCATTTATTTGTCCAGGGCGAAAAGGTTAATTAATTAGATCAACACGTTCCATATTCCCACGCACGTGTAATTAAATACTCGGGAATTCTCAAATGCTGCGATAAATCTCCAGTAATTAGTGAAACGTGGCGCGTTTCGAGTCATTAAAAAAGAGAGAAAAAAAAACAGCTGTTCTTCTCTGGTAGATGTTATCCTCCTTGTCGCTCTAGAGTAGGAATAGTGCAACCGTGACCTTCGAAAACCACCATGTCCGGTTGCGATCTGCATAATTTCGTCCGCGAAGTGCACGAGTCGCATCCGCGTTCGCTTTTCCCTGGAAACTTTAATCATCGTCCATCATTTCCTATGACAAACGAGTCGGTCGAGGCGCATTCGCAACGAGGTGAATTTGTGCCACGGGTTATAGATCACATCCGCGACGAATACTTTCTCGGGTAACTCGGTAATTATGCAACCGCGATTGCAAAACCGCGGGTCACTTATTTTAGCGCGACGATAGTTGACGTTTAGCAATTCGTAGGGAAGTACGTATCGCTCGACTTTCGGCACACGTTGGTACCACGCAGTTGTACTGTTTGATAGACTGCTTCGGGACCGAAAATCTGTTATGTTTCGTGTTCTCTTGAACAGTGAAATCAGTGAAAATGTCAAAGCAATGACATGTGAGTATTTGACGGATTTTCAGTGAAAATACTTGTACTTTGCTTCTCCGTTTCGTGTGTTTCACTGATGGTGACAGCAAGATTTTACTGAAAAATTAGTAATAATCGTGCATATTTGCAAGATGTAGCTTCTCAAGCTTCTTTTATTTAATTTAGATTGTTATTTTTTGGAAAAAACTTTTATTCAAATTTGACATCAACGTATTCAAAAATTCAGATAATTTATTTTTTCTTATGTTTCTATTAAAGTGTATTCTATTTGATAATAGTGAATCATTGAAAATGTCAAAGTAGTGACACATGAGTATTTTACTGATTTTCAATAAAAACGCTTCTCATGCTTTGCTTCTTCGTATTTCACTAATTATGGCAGTAAGATTTTACTGAAAAATTAATATTAATTGTACATATTTGCAAAATAATATAGATTTAAAAACTTTCTATTTTTGATTATTATTTTTCGAGAACTCTTATTCATATTTGAAATAAAACACGTATAATTAGTATAAAAATTTAAAGTTATATTACATTTTTTAATTCTTAAAATGTAGCACATATAAAAAATAAATAAGATTCTTGTCAAATCAAATTCTCTCAGATTTCTTTAACCAAATATATTGCCATAAATTTATCTCATATATGTGTAATACATATTAATTTAAAATGTATTTCGAAATATTATTATATTATTAAAATATACATAAATATTACATAACATATACATTACATAAATATTATTATTATTATATTATTAATATTATATTATTTTTAATATTAATTGAAACAGCTTTATTACTAATTATCACTAATTTCTTCAATGAAATTTTAATCATGTATAGTGTGCTATATTTATTATTATACCATATCAGAGTCTATTCATTATTTCTTAATGATAATTCTCACTCATTTCATTGAAGAAAGTAATAAAATAATTAGATAAACAGTGAACTTATATAACTTATTTGAAAACAATTTTCCGAAACTAAAGCCTAAAATATTTACAGAAATTTCATCAAACGGATAATAATACATTTGGAAAATTTATCATAATATTCACAGTGTTTTATCATTTATTTTATATCTTTATAATAATAAAATTTTTTTATTACCCTAAGCTTATTCATTCGATCCTCGAGATTAATGAGCTAGCGTGAAATGTCTAGTCGAAAGTATCACCTCCTTGACGGGGGACTCGTGTACGTCATTGTTTGATGTAGTCGCGGTGATGTCGCAGGTCTGGAACGGGTAGCGGAGGAGTTGATGGGCCGTAGGAGATGGAAGCAATACCAGGACACCCTGTACAGCGGCACCCGCAGCAGCGAATCAACGACGGCACAGCCCCACCATCGGCTTTACCCGGCGTTGTCGTCGTCCTGCAACCCGATACCCGGGGGCCTGGACCAGATCGGGCCGCAGCTGCATCACCCGGTATCCTCGTCGTTGCCGGCGGCGATAGCGTCGACGGCGCTGACGACGGCCACGACGACGACGGCGACGACCCTCGCGAGCAGCGGGGTGAAGCAGGAGAGTCTGCAGAGGCATCACCTGCAGAACCACCACCACCATCTGCAGCAGCAGGAGGACCTGCGCCGTCTGAGGCCGGGCGAGATCAAGGTCGAGACCGGCGACGAGGAGCCCGCGGACGGTGTCACCGCGCGCGAGGACATCGCCACGACGAGGACGACGGACCCGGCGACGTCCGCGACGGCAATAGCGACGGGTGCAACGACGACGACGACGGCGACGGCGGCGACGACGACGGCGATGACGACGACGACCGCGTCGGCGACAACGACGGCGTCCGGCACGACGACCATCACGACGAGACGGCGACGCGGACGCCGGCAGATCGACGGGGAGGACGTCGACGGCGAGGAGGACGGCGACGAGAACGACGAGGAGACGGGACGGGGCCAAAACGAGGCGGAGAAGCGGCTCAAGCTCGACGTGGACGCCGACAGGTCGGCGGCCAGCCCTCTCAGGACGGAAAACGATCGTGCGAATCATCCGATTGCCAACGCTACCGACACGGAAGGGACCAAGGTTGCTATCATTTTTTCTCTAATATTTCCATAAAATGTTTTCATAAAATGGGAGGATTTTTTTAAATAATCGTCTTTCGATAATAGGATAAAAAAGGAATAATGAAAGTAATATAGGGTACAACGGTGTAATACGCCCTGGCAGGGAAAATGCCCCATTCATTTTGCTCGGTTATAGTGAGCTTACTAATAAGTATTATTGAAACAGGAGTCGACATATAAGAGTGCATAATTAACCGGAAAACCGCACAGAACTGCTTTGAATGCGATTTTACATAAAAAAGAATTGCAAAACAATAAGTTTTAAGAAAAAAAAGTAGTAAGATATTTCTTGGTAAGTATTTTTTTATTTAAATATAATTGTTATTATATTTATATAGGCTCTTACTGTTTCCTGAAGGTATAACTTATGAAATAAAATCGATGACAGTTATATACAAATGTTTTTTTTCTATTTAATCTGCATATGTATGGGGATATACATTTTTTTAAAAATGCAAGAATATATTCCACACAAGGGTAAGATTCTAGTTTTATTATAACATTTCTTTCATCATTTTTTCCTGGCAGATTCTGGGCAAAACATATAAAAGAGGAACTACAAGAGCTGAATGGAGCAAAGAGACATTGCCAGAGGCAATGGCGAAAGTCAAGACACTGCAAATGAATGTCAATGTTTTTTTGTGGAAAAAATAGAGAAAGATGCAATTTTTATTATTAAAATAGTCAATCAATATTTTTGTAGAATTAAAATACGAATTTTTATGTTTCGTCGAATTTTATAATTTAAAAAAAAAAATTGTACCTTTGTCGATTATTTGGGGCGTTTTTTCAAAGTCCGAGGGAAAAAGTTCTTTTCAAAAAGTTGATCTTCAAATGACGATCAAAAATTGATGCAATTATTAATTGTAATATTAATAAATTCTTGTAAATTTCAACTACCAATAAAATCTATTCATCATAAATGTATTTTACATTGATTGAACAAATATGGGGCATATTACACCGTTTTACCCTACAATAAGCAAGGAAATAAGAAAGATAAAAAGAAAGAAATGCTGAACAAACAAATCCATCTTAAATTACGAAAACTTGCATAGCATTATTAGAATGAGTTACATCTTCGTCTCGACCTTTCCACCTTCCACTATTCTCCATTTTTCGACTTTCACGTCTCAGGAACGAACGGAGGAGATCGCGTTGGAGCGGGCACCGGTAACGCAGGGCTTACTGAGGGTAAAGAAGGAGGAGGAGCTACAAGAAGTGTCGGGTTCCGGCGGCGGCACGACGATACTGACGACGCCGGCGACGGATTCGGAAGGGACCAGGTCGGGGCTGCTATGCCGCGAGGGGAACGCGACGACGAGCGTCGCGACGCCGTTTCTCCTTGGAAGACGCACGAGCCCGCCGCCGGAGGACTGGAAGCCGCTCGACAAGTGTTACTTTTGCCTCGACGGCAAGCTACCCCACGACGACCAGCCGCCCCTTGTAAGTAACTTACGACGAGTTTGTGCCCGGTGTGAGGTTGCGCATGGCTGAGCATCGACCTCGTCCTTCATCGCTAACTTTGTGTAGAGATTACATACTCGAAAGCGACGAGAGACGCGGAAGAATAAGAGTCACAGACTTCTATGTATTGCACCTAGATTGTTAAAATCCAAGGGTAGCCGTTTACAATTGGTACCTAGGATATGTAAGTTGGATTACTGTACGTTTTCGTAATTCAAGTTGCTGGCAGTTGAAGCCATGATCCAGTCTGGACAAGAGTATTGATTGATAGTTTTGGACTAGATTGATTGATTAATATTCTGCAATTGTATTTTATCCAATTGTAAATGGCTGCTCTGACTTCACCCTAAGTTGTTAGCGCAGTCTAGGTCTAGTGTATAGAAGTCTGTGATAAGAGCGAACGAGTCATCTTTCCTTGTGCGCGAAATTCGCAAGATCCGAGGTTGCGACACCTCCTGCGATTTGGATCTTGCCGATAACCGGGTAACGATAACGCTAACGTTGCTCGTTTTATCTGCCACTTACGCAATCGCGTCATCGGAATCTCCGGTTTCATACCACTCTCCATGAGCCTGTTGTGCCGTCGCGAGCGCGATTCGAGTCTGACCCGGTCTTTGCTGCTTTTGATTAAGTCGTGCGCCGACCGCCACACCAGCCTCTCTTTCTCTCTCTCTCTCTTTCTTTCTCTCTCTCTCTCTCTTTCTCTCAGCTTTGATCACTTTGACGCGCCCATACAAGATTCACGAGGACTCGCGAAAGCGACGTCTTTTGAAAAATGAATTCGATCAGAATTCGATCCTCGCATCGCGTCTTTCTCGCGAATCTCTCTCTCTCTCTTTCCTCCTCCCTCCCTCCCCCTTTTTCTCTCTTTTTCTCGGCATATCCGACCAATCCTGCCAATCCGCCAGTCCATTCCGCCCGATCGGCGAATCGCGCGAGCACGGGATGACACGTTTCTCCGTGTTGTGCCCCGCAGAGTCCGCAGAGCGACAGTGGCAGCAGCTCGCGATCGGCGGAATCACCGATGTCGGTCCAGGTGGATCCGATGGCGGCGTCCGTGGTCGCCGCCGCTCTCAGCGGCACTTACCCCACCCTGCTGCCCCAATGGTGCTTACCGCCGAGGGAGGCGCCCCTCGTTGGGGTGCAGACCCACCAGGACAGCGCCGCGGTGGCCGATCAACCGCTCGATCTCTCGGCCAAACCCAGAAATTCTCAGGTAAGCGCGAGACCGTTCGTGCTCGTGTGTGTGTGAAGGTACATTTTCTTGATCTCTATCTCTCTCTTTCTCTCTCGGCTTCATTTCATTTCTCTGTCTCATATAACGCTCATTCGAATCACTCTTCGGATATCCGTTTACGCGGTTCGTAAAGTGTTCGATGAAAGATCGTGTAACGAGAGCGAGAACGTTTTTGTAAATTATCCGTTGCATATATTTTTTTTTTACTGGACTTGTCATCATCTACTCGCGATGATCGCTATTATGATACATATTGATATATACTGCTGAAAAATGGAATTTCTTTTATAGTGTCTTCTTAGTGCTTATATTAGTCGTGTTATTAAGTAACTAATGCTAACGTCTCTAAATAACTAAGCCGTATGCTTGCGTAAAGTATTAATTATTTTTTTAATTATCGAGGTCTCTCTCGATCGATTTTTTTATATTAATATTATTATTCATTTGTTTGTCTTCAGGACAACAACATATCCCTACTAGAGCAACAGAAAATACCTCTGAGAATGCCGACAGGCATCGATCCCAAGACTATTCTCAAGTAAGTACGATGATTTTTTAAATATTTTTTCAATAATTAATATTTCAACGGAGAAAAAAATGGAGTAGAAAAATATCATGAAATATCTTATTAATTGTCAGTGATTTATACATTAATCGTTTATATAAATCAACCCGATATGTCGCGATGCATTTAATTTAAAATTATATATCTCTGCGCGTTATTCGTTATTCGATTCGTCAAAGTGATAAAATATATAAAACCCAAACGAAGGACATTAATCATAAAACAGTCGTAATTAAATCGCTGTGGAGATACGAAAATAAAAATTGAAATAAATTGGAGTAATTCCCCGCTCATGTTCACGAAAATTATAGTTTTATACAAGTTTTTTATTTTAAATCTGCGGATCTTTATCAATTTTATTAACAAAATTTAAGAAGTTTTACATTTGAACAAATGATAGAATTAGTATTCCTTACAAAATAGTCCTCATAAAATAGTCCTCATAAAATAGTCGTAATTAAATTACTGAAGATATAAATACAAATTGAAATAAATTGGAGTAATTTCCCGTTCATGTTCACGAAAATTATATAGTAGTTTTACACAAATTTTTAATTTTAAATCTGTAGACATTCCTCTATAAATTTTCTTAATAAAAATTAAAAAGTCTTACGTTCGGAAAAATGATAGAATTAACATTCTTTACAAAACAGTTCTCATAAAATAGTTGTAATTAAATTACTGATGAAGATATAAAAATAAAAAATTGAAATAAATTGGAGTAATACTGATGAAGATATAAAAATAAAAAATTGAAATAAATTGGAGTAATTTCCCGTTCATGTTCACGAAAATTATAATTTTACACAAATTTTTATTATAATTTTACACAATTTTTTATTTTAAATCTCTAGACGTTCCTCTATAAATTTTCTTAATAAAAATTAAAAAGTCTTACGTTAGAAAAAATGATAGAAATAGCATTTCTTACAAAACATTCTCATAAAACAGTCGTAATTAAATTACTGAAAATATTTAAAAAAAATTGTTATAAATTGGAGTAATTTCCCGTTCACGAAAATTATAGTTTCACACAAATTTTTTATTTTAAATTTGCAGACCCTTCTCTATAAATTTTATTAACAAAAATTAAAAAGTTTTACGTTCGAAAAAAAATGATAGAATTATTATTTCTTACGGACAAGAATGCGCACAAGAACGTGAAAAGAGAGACAATATTCCTGTCTATTCCCGAATGCAGAAGAAACGGCAAATAGTAGAACATTCGAATATTCAGGATCGGAAAGGCATTCTTTTCGATGGAAAAATCGTCGTCCCGATCGTCAACGACGACGAGATGCCGTTTCCGGCGGTTATCGCGCGGCTCGCTTTACACCTCGAGGCGAGAACAGCTGATACGTATATTCCTACTGAACGAAAGGAGGAAAGAAGGAAAGGAGGAAAAAAAAGAATGGAGAAAAAAATAAAATGAAAAGATCGCATTCCTCCTAGCGAAGAGAACCTAACGTTCCTCCCGTGATCGAGTGGCCGCTTAAGCTGGCCGGCTATTTCGATAAGGCGTCGATTAAAATGCCGCCGGTAAACGACTTTCGAAAAATCGCGAAACTGACAGCCAGTCGATCCGGAATGCCGTCGCAATTAGGTGCCAATCACCGCGGCCAGGCATAACCGTGATTTATCTCCCTCGTAAAGACGTCAATGCGCGACAAGCGCGAGAGGAATCGTATCATTCTCGAATGACGCTCGTTCGATCGGCTCGTGTTTTTGGGCTTGTTTACACGAAATATATGAGGTAAATTTAATAATCTAAATAATAGAATCGAAAATTTATAGATTCCTTGTTACGCGGATTCAATCAGTTTACATATATGATTAGAATTAAAAAAAAAATATTAAATTCTTAATTATGGAATTATTCTTTAACTCTTCTTGAATTCTTGAATTTTTCATAATTAACAGTCATATTTTCAATCATCTTTATATCGTAAAATCACGTATTTGTAGAATTTTATTATTAAGCGTCTTTTATTTTCATTGCGTGTATATGTGATTCTTTGTGTGACTATAATTGTAATAAAAGACGAGCAGGGTTACAGATAAAGAGCCACGGTTATCAGGATCTAAAATCGCGGTGAAGCTCAAGTTTGCTGGATGAACTTGATCGTGCGTTCTATCAAGTTGACCTTAATACCAGTATAGTGAACATTCGACGGTTATCTTAGACATGTTAGAGAGATATGCAAGTCTGGAGTACGTCATGTTTGATCCCTACTATCATTTTTCACCTTTTTTATGTCGTCAAAATTTAATTAAATTATAAAGATCACAATTACTTTGCAAATTTAAAATTTTCCTCTCTTTAATTTTAATTTTAATTTTAATTTTGAAGAAATAATTATAAAAAAATGAGCAGTCCTTCAAAATTTATATTAAATAATATTACATGTGTATATTATTAGAAAGAGCATTAATAAATAATTTATTTATTGCAAATACTTTGTCAAGTATAAAGTTCAGATATTTCTAAAGAAATTTTATCATATGATGGGAATAATAATATATCTTTTTTCTTGATAAGGGAATATTCTTTGACACAACTAGATAGATCGCTTATTACACAGTCCTTACGTGCAAATAATTAAAAATAAAAAGATATATGGTACTCCAGTGTTTTAAACTGCACGAAAAAATTTCACTGTAATATGTTTGCACGATCTCGCGATAAGCAGCTGGTACCCTTTAAACCGTAATAATACCGACGAGTTGCTTGAACTTTTCAACCCTTTGAGCTTTAAACTACTATACGTCTGTGGTACGTACCTCGAATAAATATTTAAGCAGTACGTTTCGCAGAATCGATGCACAACTCTGTTGTGGTCTCGAATACGAAACATGGTGTAGCAAATTTTTCGTAAATCTATCCACACATGGAACAAAATGACAGCGAGAGAAGGGGTGTTTTATGCACTTTTATATTATTTTTATCGTGGAAAAGTTAAAAACTGGACCAATTATTACGATATTATATTTATGCCGTATTAATTTTCTTCCGTTCTTCTGTTCCTGATAAAATTTAAAAAGGCTCGATAACACATGCATATTGGAGGCTCTCGATTTTACTTTAAAGAATTGAAATTGCTTCAATTTTTACTATCAAATTCATGAAAAATTACTGGATGAATTGTAACAATTTATGAGAGTAGAGAATTTTTTAACAAATGTTTATTTCAGAGTATCAAGATCTTTCTATCGTTGACGATAATTTTTACTTTACTTGCGCGAAAAATTGAAATGATGGTCGATAGTTCGGATGAGTCGAGTGCGATGTCAGATCGTCGTGCTGAAGCATCGAAGGCGTACGTTGCCCCCGTGTTTTCGCTGTTTTCCCCCGCGGAATATTTTGCGCATCAAATTTTTATCGTCGTCTATTATTAGTCCATCGTAATCTGCACCTACCGACACATCGAAGACGTCGAGAGTACCTCGTGTGTATCGCGGCCTCGATTACGAGGAGCGTAAAGGGAGAGTGCAACTCGAAACGCGAGAAGGGGAGAAAGAACGATGAGGGGGCGGAGAAGGGGAGGGAAAGTAAGGAGCGAGCAGAAGGGGGACGCAAGAGACGAGAAAGATCAAAGGGGGAGAGAAAAGAAAGAGGCGAGGGAAGTTCGCGCCGACGCATGCTCGACGTAATTAACGATAAGATAGGACCGTCGACGAAACCGCGCGGTGGCCGGATCGAAATTAAAACCCAATTCAAATTAGATCACAGATGTGTAATTCTGAATTCGACGGAAGATGTGAATTTATATCTATATTTAAAACTATATGGGAATCATAATTAGCTCTTATAAATATTAGAGGTAATTAATAAATACAGGTGAAAAATCGTCGTTTTTTAAAGATAGTGAATTTTACAGATTTTATTATTTAGGAATGACTCAAAATCGAATGTCATAAAATATATAGGTATCATAAGTCTTAGATAAATATAACAAGACAAAAAAATTCATTTTTTTAATTATATTTAATGACATTTTCGTCATTAAATATCATCCCTTTGTTGGAGCCGCATTATAACACATTTCGAATCTTATTGAAAGAGCCTACAATGTTAGCGCAAGCTACATGGTGTTTTCTTCCATTTAAGACACTTTTGTATGAATGAACTCGAAAAAAATCTAAGGCTCGACTTGATCTGAATTGGCATTAAACATTCTTGAAACGAAACCGCTTGCGATCGAGCTTTCGAGCTGTCTTTGAAGATATCAAAACCACGTGAATTTTTCGGAACATTCTCGAGAAATACAGTCCTGTTGCTTTAATTTGATTGTTACATATGTAACTTTGAAAATATTAATTATGGAGGTTTTCGCCTCTTTCTCTCCACTCGTCTGGCTGCGCACAATGCACTGTTATGTAGAAGTTTCGGATAAAGTGAAAATTGCATTGCTCGTCAGAAAAGTTTGATACTGCTCTGTAATATAGTCGTATATATATTCGTATTAAATCTACTTGAATACGTCAAGTTTTTGTACTTCACTCTGCTGTTACAAACTAGGCGAATCTCGAGATATTTATTATCCTCTATAAACTGGTATTACGCAATCGAATACTTGACTCTAGTCGATGTAACTTTAGAATTTTCTTTGAACGCTCACTTGCCATGATGACGACATCTTTATATCAATTTTTTATATATTTTATATATTATATATTTTTATATATTATATATTTTATTTATCACATAAATATTTTCTATATATTTATTTATTATATATATTTTATATTTGTTTCACTTTTCTATCATTTTAGCTTTTGGAGCTGAAATAAAATATTGTATTATAAAAATCAAGGAATTAGACTTCAAATTTCTCTTTAATATTTTCAGATTATTCTGCGTATAAGTATCAGCAGTTAATTTAAATATTATTTTTCAGCTCGAAGATTTTCGAGATTCTTTTGACAATTAAGGAGGCTACGCGGATGTATAATAATATTTTAAGTAGATCATGAATTTTCTTTTTAGAAACTTGGGATAAGGAATGCGACTAGATCTTGAACGTGCCTTCGCCGTAGCAAGTCATAAACGAAATTAGACATAGAGTTCGCGTCCGCGATAGTGAAAAATAGGCGAGCCGCAATAAAACCAGACAGGAGTACTGAAGCAAAACCGGTTCGTAGAAGGCTTTGGAGAAGGTTCGCTGGCCAAAGAGGTATTGACGTCGCCGCGAAGGACAAGATTATGACTATCTGGTTCGCGATTGCGTGAGCCTCGCGATTTATCTGCGAGAATTTACAGAACCGAACCAGTTTAGCTCGATCGTCGAAGCTCTGACTTCGGATGCGTAAATACATCCTTGTCTACTTGCGCACAAAATCACGTTATCGGGCAAGAATTCCTCTCTCACGATATATTTCATCAAAGTTACGTCATTATTTTTCCCCTCGATATTTTTTTTCGATTTTATTTTATTTCTTTAATTCAATTTTGACGCGTTTATAATAATATAATTCTAATATCCTGTTTTTACGGAAACGCGATAAGATCTAAATTTCTCGCGGCTTTAAATGCGGGCGCCACGTCGTTTCATTTAGCGAATACCGTTTTCTTCGAAATTACGCGACAGCATTACTCGAGGAACGTTGAACCTTGAGACGTACGCGGGTCGACCGAGTTTCCGAGGGACGACGACGACGACAACGACATGGTGCATATCGCCGCGTAAAACCGCAGACGAGTCGACAAACAAAAATCCCAGATAAATCAACGCCGGTCGATGACTGACGTAGCGGGACCTATCCGGGAGGACGAAATATACGCACTTTTATCAGCGACTCAGGTCGACGAACTTGGGAGACAGAGGGGGGCATGTGCAAGCGGGGGTGGGACGAAGGGGAGCAATGATTCCTTACGCCTCCCCTCTCTCTCTCTCTTTCTCTAATCTTATCGTTGCGCACTGTGTGCGACAAATTGCACCGTGGCCCGATATCCATCGCCTTCGTGCCATGTCGCGATTCTTTTATGCAAGCGAAATATCACCGGCCGAAAGCTGTTACACTCTTGTCGCATGTTTAGCGTGAGGTGGTTCAGAAAGGCCTATCAAGAGCATTCAGCAGGAAAAAGATTTGTCTTTCTTTTCGTCATTAGATTAGATTCTTATTAAAATTTTATTTATATATTTTAATTTTATTTTTTTTAATTAGAATTTTTAGATTATGTTTGAGCTTTCTTGTCTTTCGTTTAAATCGGCAAACAAGTTTAATGAGAAAAGAAAGAGAATAACGCTGGAGATACGTGTAACGTACAAAACGCTGTCTTTTTATAAAAGAATAAAGATCAGCTGATCCAACACTTGGTGCCATAGACTGCTCAGGAATAATTCGCTGGAACGGAAACGCTGTTTGGGAGATGTAATGCGTTTCGGGAGGTGTAATCGCGTACTGACGTGACAATTTATAATAACGATAAAAAGAAAATTCTAACGAAGACGGGTATAAAATTATTAATATACGCGTTTGCCCTCCGGCGATGTTAGAGCGGTTCTATGCGTCGTTTTAATTCTCGTCTCTCGGCGTAGATAAATCTCGTCCATATGACGTACGAGTATAAATCACGATGAGCGAAATGATATTTATGTAAATGAATTACGCGGTTAAAGAGATGTAAATGCTCGAACATCTCTCCCCCTCCCGACGGTTTTTCTAGCCAAATATTATCGATTGGCACGTGGCAGTTTGCGAAATTGTCGAGTTTCACACGTTCAACACGTCTCTTTGCGTTTGAAAAACATAATTTACATGACTGAATATCTCGAAGGCGAGCTTAAAGTTGCACGGATTCGCTATTCATCATCGACGTCAAACACGTGCGGATGTCGAAACGGCCACGTGGCCGTTTAATGCGGATCGTCTATCGGGTTAGTTCCAGAGAACGCACGTGAGCTCGCGAAAAGCGATGGATAGTCGGACTTTGCTGTTGAGAACTCACTTACGTTAATGTTTGCTGCGAGATGTTTGAAGATTTACCGGCAATTACGTTTCAATTAATCTCCTGGATTGCTTTCGTGGCAATTTTAAATTGCATGCAAAATTGTTCTTGTTATCAGAATATTCCGTGCGCTTTTCCTCGAAAATAAGGAAAGGAGCAATTTTCCAAGATGCTTTAGAATTATTTTTCTTTCATAAAATATATCGATTTTCTCGAATGATATACCTGCTTTTAATACGCTGCTTATTTGAATTGATACTCCGACATTAATGTACGAAGATAAACGAGATCCATTATGATGATTGATGGATACTTATAGAAGCTGTATTCTAAAAGTGGAAATTACAAAAATAAATTCTCCTGTAGTAAAAAGCAGTTGACATCCAACCATTTGTTTTCGTGACGTTTCTTAATACTTAATATCTAGAGTGAATCTGATAAAAAGTTTACCGCATTTTTCTTGAAATCGGTTAAAGATAGGGGAAGATTCATTATCAAGTTGTAGAAGGATATAGAATGTCCTTAATTTTCACATTTTCAACTAAAATTTCCTCCTTTTAAATATGAAGAGGGATTTTTTAATCATTCTATCGATTCTCGATGAATTTAATAATTTTTGAGAATACTCGTAAAAAGCAAGAGGTTTCAATTTTTCCAAACGAAGGGTCAGTCTGACTTTCAATTTTATAAATATCTTGCCAACGGTAGATTCTTTGAAAAGATACAAAAGCTCATTGAACCATGGGACCATTCGTTGGAATGACTTAAAAGTATCTTTTCCTATTTGCAAAAAGAAAACTTTGGTTGGTTCGTATGGAAACTAGGGACAATCATGGTTACTCAAGACGATGCAAGTATGCAAGATGTTCCTCCACTTGTTCTACAATTCGAATAATAAATTTGAATAACAAATGTCTACCTTTAATCCATTCTGAAGAAAAATGTATTCAACTTTTTATCAGACTCATCCTGTATATTGGGGACTCGGTTCACCAAAATATACACCCGATCTTTACGCTCCCCAAATCACGTTTGCCCCAAGTCGCTTTGCAGGCAAAAAATCCTAGCATCGAGTCCAGCTGATGTAACCTTGATTGACGCTGTTTCAGCTCGTGTTACCGCGCGAAACCGCGAATGACCGGACCGGTTGCGGCCGCGGCGGCAGCGGCAGCGGCAGCTGCGGCAGGCGTCGGTGGTGTTCCAGTGGTGGGTGCCGGGGGCGGCAGGAGGACTTACACCGAGGAGGAGCTGCAGGCTGCCCTTAGGGACATCCAGAGCGGCAAGCTCGGCACGCGGAGGGCCGCGGTGATCTACGGGATACCACGTAGCACGCTGCGCAACAAGGTCTACAAGCTCGCGATGGAACGCGAAAGGGACGCGTCCCTGACTAGCACCCATTCACACCCTCACGAGCCCGGCGCCCCAGCCACCACCACCACCACCATCACCATCACCACCACCACCACTACTACTACTACTACTACTACTACTACAACACCACCAAATACGACCCAAAACGCCTCCGCGACCACTCCGCCCCCGCAAGTGGACGAGGTAGGTTTTGGGGACAGAAAACGGAAGATATGGCTAGAGATTTAGAACGAGAGAGGAAGAGAGAGAAAGAGGGGAAAGATAAAGAGGGTGAAAGAGGAGCGAGAGTGGGCGAGATGCAGAGATGCGAGGGGTGAAAATGTTCCACCGACACGTGCCGAACTCTCCTCGTCGGTCTTTCGGGCGTGTCGGGTAGAGAAAACCGAGGATGCAAATTGGTATGGACAGCGAGACGGGAATGTTCTCGTGAAAGAATCATGCGACGAGACATTTTCGTCTACCGAGACGACTCTCCATCGAGTATAGTCTTTTTATCTCCGCTGGTTTCCATTGTCGATATCTTTATCCGGAAATCGTTGGCGCGCGAGAGAAGTGATTCGCGGGATTGATTCGTTTTGATATCGATAACAACGTGTTTTTAATATTTATATTCGCGATATGCAAGTGCTTGATGATAAAATTGCTTTCTACATTTTCTTTTCATTTGTACAGATATTAAAAAATATTTTAATCTATAAATTGAATAGGTCAGTAAGAATATGTCACTCTCAAAAGAGTATAAATTTCAGACTTTTCATCTGATATGTTATAAAACAGACACATGCGTTGTAATATCTGTGTGTTGATTGTTACATAATTATATATAACATAAAAAACGAAAGAAAAGAAATGTAAAAAAGCAGCGTTTAATTAGATTTTTATCAGAAAATTAATGATGATTGTTCATTTAAATTACAGCAATAATTATAAATAAATTTTATTTAGTTGTGTTTGTATACAAGATATTTTAATTGTAAAAGAATATTAAAAACTGAAGAAAAAGATACGTAAAAATGTATTAGTAAATGAGAAGGAAGAATATCTTCCTAAAAAATCTTTGAAATGTAATTAATATTATTAGAATATATCATCAGGCACTCTCGAGAGATCGCATACAGTTTCTTTCGACTAAAACTGTCCGCAAGCGAGTAGTAACTCACCATGATTTAAATACACAGTGAAACAGGCCGATTACCATGCAGAGAAATGTGGAGGGGTGGGTGGGGGAAACCGAACGATGCACGAGGGAGATCTCGTTGAGGGAAAATTCGCGGATACATACCGTCCATTTGTAGCTAAGTGTGGTTTTGGTTAGGAAGAACGAATGAAGCTTCCCCAAAACATACCTCTGGCACGGCGATCGTGGATCTCGCGTGGACCGAGTGTATATCTCGTTATCTCGAGACGACGCTCAAAATTCGGACTCGGTCGGAGCGGATCCAATTCAATTTCTTCATTAACGAATATCAGTTCAACGCTTTCGCTAAATTTCATTCGCTCCCTAAAATAATGCAGAAAATTTAACTTCGACAATCTTGCTTCACTCTCGTATAAATGAAATGTGAATCTCATCAAATATTAACTCTGTCTCTTTTCCCTTTTAAATAAATATTTTATATACTTTCCAAGACACACGTTTGCAGAGAAAGTTAAACCTTTACAAGTCAATAGATTTTAATTTTCTTTTCCAAAGATTTTTCAATTTCTTTCATATTGCGGAGAGTATCGACCTAGTCCGAAAGAAACGTCAAGCGTGCGTTTTGCTCGGTGACACTACGAGACGCTGGAGGAAGGGGACGATGGTCTACGCGACTCCGTATCGGTCGCCGTGGTGCTAATTAGTGTCCAGTGTTTTTTTGCATGGGCTGTTTAACTTTTTTTATCTCACTATTTGTAGTTTAACACACGGCAACTTGGTGTCCGCGAGGTTGCAAGACTCGAGGTAAGTCTTTGGGAAGGTCGTGTCGAGACGAAATAGAGAGAAAAAAAGAGAAAAAGATAGATGTCTGTCCGGGCTTGATCTTTCTTTTTATCTTTGACGAGGGCGCTTGAATGGCCCCGAGAATTCAATAAATGGTCGTGAATGTACAGTGCTTCTGGACCTCGACACTCTGCATCCTCGATGTGCCGCGCATATAAACCCTACGCCGTAGAGAGACGTCCAATCAAATAATTGTTCCGAAATAGACGGATCGCAATCCCAGTGCGAACGCGCTGCCATGCATGAAACAGTCGCGCGATCGAAGATTACGGCAGATTAAACACGGTGGCACGATTTAATCCTCATCACCTGATAATGTCTTTTGCCTTGATTTGATTGCGATTAATTTTGCTCAACGTATAGGACGGGAATTGATCGCAATTAGATAATCGAAAATATCCAATGCACTAAAGCGCAAGGATCACCTATTTATTTCAGCAGTGTTTATCCTTAACGATCCTGTTATTAGGACAATTCTATTAAAATTTAGAAGAATAGCTTTCTTTATTAGAGGAAAAATTGAATTGTTCTCTGTTGCATAAAATGTAAGATTAAATTCGTAAAACACCCAATGGATTTTTTCAAGTAAGAATAAATTATATTTATTGGGAATTTAGACAAATACGTTTATTTTTTGGAAAAAAAATTGTAAGTATAAATCATCCTATAAATATTTTGTGAGATTAAATATCCTTGCATATCTCATATTTTCTTAAATATTCCAGTTGCACGATTAGTTGCCACTTAAAAATCCAAACTACGTCTTAGCACGAGGCTCTGTTTGTTTTACGGTATAATTTGTCGAGCTCGCAAGCACGGTCTATGCACGAGGACGGTTAAAGTCTCATTTTTCCTGCCTGTATTTCATGCGATCGTTTATACACATACGTGGTAACCGTCGCGGAAGACTGTTGCTTCACCTTCAGTGCAATGCATGCGCCTTAAACGAGTCCCCCGAGCACTTGAATTCCGGCGTATCTCGTCGAAACGCACGCCGAGGATGAGTTTTCTCTCTTCCCTCTACCCTACGCGAATTTTTCCGCCCTCTTTTCCTTCAACCGGGGACCAGCGAGGAAAAGATAGTCGCGATTATATTATATATATTGTCATCCGCGAATTGATTCCCGAGAATATCGAGAATGTTTTCCCGTAAAAACGTCGATCGCTTCTTTGACAAGTACTGTTTACTGATTAGCAGCTGATCCTGCATGGCGCTTGGCTGGCTATTCTACATTCGATGGAGATGTATGTATATATATATGGAGTGATTCGTAAAGTGACTCGATTGCAATCTTCAAATTAGATAGGGAAAAATTACAGCATCATTTTTTATTTAATTATTTTCTGAGAGAAACTTTTTCTGTAAATCAAGATAACGACTCTCGATGATTAAATTTCTCGAGAAGAAGTTTTAAAGCGTCATTTATTCAAGATTCCAGAAATGTTTTCATTTCAAAACAGTGAAAACTGGCTCGCGATTCTTTTTACGCAAGTACCGAGTTTGTGTGTAACGTCCTCAAAGCCAAAAGTACCCTTTCCCGCGCGCATTACGCTTTTTTTCTCCATTTTGGTACTTTTTTTAAAATATGCAATGCGGTCGCTTTACGAGAAACGCTTTGTATATATTTACATGGACAATTGACACTTACACACGATACAGATACACGTACATTCTAGACACACACCTCTCGACGAAGCATTCTCGAACAAGAAGTTGTAATTTACGAGCAACAACATTTGCCTAATGACTATCGATGATAAGAAGAGCACCGCTTCTATTCACGTCTCCGGAGACGGAGAGTAGAAGCTTCTACTTTTACTTTCCTCGAGAGGGCAACTTGACCGTAATCTGCAATTTAGATGCTCTTTCACGAGCAAGGAGTATATGTAGAAAACGCTAGAAGAGATATTTTTAACAGGTGGACGACAAAGAATTATCCGGCGCGGAAGAGGAGAAGGAAGTCGAGAAGGCCCTGTTGAAGCCTCTGCTCTCGTTGGAGGATCTCGTCAGGTTCTCCGCGTTCGAAGGGACCGGTGGTGATTCCCTCAGGAACCTGTTACAACGGGGACACGAGACAGGAACTGAATGGCCGGGATTGGAACACGCCAACATCGGTCCTTACATTCAGAAGATGTTGGCTGCCGCTGTGCCATTAGGTAAAATGAAATTCTTGGTGTTTTTTTTTGTGGAATTGGAAGTTTACTCTCGCCTTTACCTGAGGATTGCAATGCAGTTTCGATAGCTTAAGACACAATTATTGGCGATAAATTTGCATGAGTTATTATATTTGGGTCATACATTTCCGGCAGGTATTCGTTTCTTTTTATCCACTAAATGTGACGCCAAGAGAGGAAAGCCGAAAAGTGTATTATGTCGCGATAGGACTTCCAAAATCGATAGAAGCCGGGTCCTGGTCAGTTAGCTCGACGATAATTCCTCTGTTTTTGAAGACTGCGAATTAAATTGAGTTGCTTAAATCTGTATTTGAAATTGATAGAAGGACAAATAGAAATGTTACGAAAGCAATAATAATTATTTCATTAACATTGAACTTTGTTATGATTAAAATATTCATTGACATCGAACTTTATTTGCATTCTTCGTTGTTTATCTATTTTATTTATTTTATTTAAAAATATTTCGAATAATACGCATCTCTCACAGAAACTTGAATTAAAATTTATGAAAAAATATCACTATAAAACTTATTTCTTATTTTAGCAACTTATCTTATAATCTTATAGTCTTATTAATCAAGTATAATAATGTATTAGCAATATTGTTTGGATATTTATCAGCCTCTGGTATGTAAACAATAAACAATAAATAATAAAAAAATATTTTCAACTCTCACAGGACTGGACACGCGAGATTATCGCATACCGGAAGTGGTGAGAAAGCTGATGAGCGAAGATAAGAGGCTGAACAAGAACGTGAACGGCGATCAGTCGCAGTCGCATCATCAACACCTTCACCATCCCCTAGCTGCGCATCAGCAGACGCAGTCGCAACAGCAACGCGTACCCATGACGAACGACGACTTCAATCCCAACATCGAGGAGGAGGCCAGCGACAGCGCTCAGGGCAGAGCGATACTGAAGATTCCGTCCTACAAGCCCGCCAGCACGCCGGGCTGTTCCAGCAAGAACGGCGAGCCGACTTCCGCCGCGTTCGCCCAGGGTTTCGCGGCTGCCGCCTCGAGTCCGGGCCTTCTGGAGCGAGCTAGCCCAGCGTTCTCCGGCACCAGCAGCCCAACGAATTCGCTGGTGGGCAAAGCGGTGGCCGTCAACTTCCGCGACGTCATCGCCAAGAGCATCAGCGTCAAGTTTCAGGAGGGCCAAACGCCCGGCGCGGCCGGTTTGCCGGGTTGCCAATCGGCCGGTGTCGTTTCGTCGCAGCAGGCCATGATGACGGATCCGAGTCCGTTCAAGAGGGGTCGTTACACACCCCCGCAACCGCCGCAGCAGCAACAACCGCCATCATCGCAGCAGCAGCAAGCCAAGCAGCAGTCGCAAGACGCGAACAAGTCGAAGCAGAGTACCGGTGGCAAGGGTACCAGACCGAAACGCGGCAAGTACAGAAACTACGACAGGGATAGCCTCGTTGAGGCAGTACGCGCGGTACAGCGCGGTGAGATGAGTGTGCATCGTGCTGGCAGCTTTTACGGAGTTCCGCACTCCACCCTTGAGTACAAAGTCAAGGAGCGGCATCTCATGAGGCCGCGAAAGAGGTGAGTCGGGTTAAGCCTTCTTTCTTATCTTTTATTAACGATACAATATTTATGTGACGAATATAAAAGAATACCTCGAGCTTTAATAAATTAAACATGTAGTCCAAGAATGATAGCATTGGTTACTAAAAATTGAGAACTATATCGCTAGCCTTTATCGTTTTCGCAGGGACCAGAAGCAACCGGACGACAAATCGAAGGAGACCACGACGACGGCAGCGGCAGCGGCGGCCGCGGCAATGCGGCCAGGCGCTGCCGGCGTCGACAAAAAACCGCAACTGAAACCGCAGCAGAAACCATTTACGCCGCCGGGCGGCATACCCGGTCCGAACGGATTGAAAATGCCTCCGTTTATGGAAGGCATGCCTCACTTGCCGTTCGCGCCTTTCAACTTTTGGAATCCGGGACCCTTCATGCCCTCGCCCTTCATGGGTGGCGCACCAAACGTGCCGATTCTGCCGGAACAATACTTTGCGGCGTCGCAGAGGATGCGCGGACTGCAGGAGCAACAACGAAACGCGGCGATGGTACAACAGCAGCATCAGCAACGAGATCGAGACGGCGGCGTTGGCGTATCCGGAACGTCAGACGCAGCCGGGACTTCGAACTCACGAAGCGCATCGATAGCGAAGGCGCCGCGGGACATGGTGGAGAGCATCTACGACGGGTCCGGGGCGAACGGCAGTTTCTTGGACAATCTGATCAGGTCGAGCCTCGAGACAGGCATACCAAGGGACCAGCGGACGATGGCGGAGGTGAGGAACCAGCAGCAGCAATCGTCGTCGCAGGTGCAACATCCAGAGACGATGAGTAGTAAAACGCTGATCGACCAGCTTTGCAGAAATTCCAGAAGAACTCCGCTGCCGCGTATGGCGCAAGATAGCAGCGAGGACGAGAGTTATCGAGGACCAGCGGGCAGGATAGTGCCGGAAAGGCCGGAGCGCGTGCCTACGGTTGATCTCAGCCCATCGCCATCGGAGAGGGGTCGCACGGAGGACGGCAGCGATCGGCTCACGTCACCACCGACGCCTCTGTCGATCTCCCGGGCGGGTAGCAGGGACGAGGATAGCACCCGTGACTCGAGAATCGATCGCAGCAGCAGAGAGCGCGAAGTTCACAACGGCGGCCAGGAGGATCGCGATAGGAAGCAGCCTTTGAGCCTGCAACAGCAGCAGCAGCAGCAACCACAGCTGAACCATTACCCGGACTTACACAACCTCTACGCCGTATCAACTGACAAAAAAAGTGCCTGTGATAGTAAGCTTATAGTAGATCATTCGAGCCAGAAGACTCAGCCGCAGCAACAACAAAAGGAATACGCTGCCGTGAGCGGGCTGGTCGTGCAACTGCAGAGGGGCTACAACACCGCGAGCAGCAGATCCGGCGAGCCGACTAACAGCCAACAGCCGGCGGCGGAGCAACGTGGCCCCACGCTCAGCATGGAGGACTCCGTAGAGCAGTAGACGAAAGTCAGTATCAGTTATCAGTAAAGTATACAATTATGAGTACAGAGTAAAAAGGCAAAAGGAAACAAAGATCCAGTATATACAGTAAGCCCACATTCCCGCCCAGATCTCTCCGCCATCTCTCACAAGCACCGAACCCGTGCGCCTTCTCTCGTTGTTGCGCGAACGAGGCTTCCCTTCGCGCTTGACTCCGATGAAATGAATTTGGACAAGCTTTTCGAACGCATCCATGATGCGGGGTGCGTTTACAAAGAGCACGAAACGACGGGAATCCTCGAATACGTCGGCAACGCGATGATGCTCCGACTATTCCACACACTCTCCTGCTCTCTCCCATGACCTCTTCGTTCCAATCGAAAGACAAGAAAACCCTCGAACGTTGCGAGGCAAGTCTAGCGCAGGAAGGGGAGAAGAAAAATAGCAATGCAAGTGGTGCGACGCTAGCACAACCAATCCCCGTAGGACCCATTGCGATTCCGCCAGTTAACCCGCGTCCAGCTGGCCGATCTGGCATCAGGCGCGCGTGCAGGAAAAGATCCTTTCGACTATATTAATAGGCGAAAGCGCGGATTTCGGACCGGAGTATCGCAGGACGAAACGAATAAAAGGACGCGCGCGCGATATCGTCGTGCCGAGTACGGGACACATACGCTTCAGCAGATGCACGGACCCATTCTACAAATGCGTTTCTACAAAGCCGGACATTCCACCAAACGTATCGACACACACAACACACAACAAGTGGACATACACAAAACGAGTACCTACACACATACGCGAGTATACAAAAATGGGGAACATAACGAGATACTTGGACGTTGCGCGCGTACACGCGTCGCAGCCGAGACCTTGTCACCAGGAATCAGTGGCTTCGCGAATTCCAATTGAAAGTCGACCCGACAAGCCTGTTTTTACCTTAGACTTTAGGCGGAAATTCCAAGAGACTCGGCGCGCATCCGGGCCTCTTTGGCCCCTCCCCTCGCGAATTTATCACAGAAGGGAGGCTCGTACGCGATGTACGCGCGAAACGCGAGAGCGTTAGCCGTTCGATGATTATTATTACGATTATTAATTGCCGCTACCACTACCAATCACGGTGGACGACGACGAAAGGTCAAACGATGGAACAAAAAAAAAAAAGAAACGCCGACGCGACAACATATTTTTTCCTCTCTATGAGTGTAAAACTATCTAACGCAAAAGGGAAAAAAAAGGAACTTATTACTTAACTATTAACACTACTTAACTCGTAAGGAGCGACATAATTATATAAGGAATAATATATTATATATACATATATTTTTGGTCATTACACGGGAACGTGTGCGAAGCGAGAAAACAAGCCAAGGCTTTTGTTGGCGCGCGTAGGTGACGTTTTTTCCACAGAGAGGCGACAATATTTCTATAATCTCGGTTGTTTCGAGGCCGGCGTTCGACGCGAACGTGTCCCACATTTTCGGGCACGTTGAATGCACAGAAAATACCGGACAGCGATCTTCGTTGTCGAAACATTGCCCATAGTTTGCTTGTTTCTCCAATTCTTTTATTTACAAATAGATTCTTTCTAATGTTGTTTAAATAAACGGGACAAATTTTAGATTCTTTCACATTCATGGACACGATGAATCTTATTTATAAGGGTCTTGAAATCTTTTTTTTTCTATTAAATTAATTTCTATTCAGTTTTAATTTCTTTCTAGCGTTTTTCTTTATCTTGCAGAGTTCGACGATGCGACAAGCTCCCTTCTCTTTTTCCGAGCAATTGCGACGACGAGGATCGCGATCCTTTGAATTGAAAGAACGGTCCACAAATCCAGGCAAAAGATGCAAACGCAAAATTGGAACGTAGGATAAAGAAAGAGGAAATTAAGAAGGAAGGAAGGGGGATATCGTTGCAGCGCGCGCCCGCTCTCGATTCGATTTCTCCGATACCGAAAAGATGTTTTTTCTTAAGCGCGAGACGCCCACTTTTTGATACGAATACAAATTTTCTACCGCGTAGAGGAAAAAAAGAGAGAGAGAGAGAGAGAGAGAAAGAAAGGAAGAGGGGCTGCAGTTGCAGCCGCGCGAGCGGAATTGTATCGTTTCTTCGCGAGGGAAAAGACTCAATTATAAAACTTAGGAATGCGTTTTAATATCCGATCTTTTCGTTTTTTTTTCCTCATCGACTCCCGCGAGCACACGACATATTCATCGGGCAATTCAGCAGACTTTTATCGTGACGCGTCGGGAACCTCTTAGGAAATAGCGCGTCTCGATCGTCCGTCGCCGGTTAATGAAATAACGACGATACGATTAATTATCGAACGAATGACGAAAATTGACGAGTTGATTCGAGCGGCCGCGCATGTCTCTCCCATTCGGTTTTTCTGCAGATTCGCACGCGATCGTGCACGTCCAATTACGTTCACGATTGTGATAAGAGGGAAAGCACACTCGGGAATACGATAAATTTTTTCCGGATCGATGAAAATTTGGAGTCTCTGGATGGAGTCTGAATTTTTATTGCGCGTATAATTGATAGTTACGACGAGAGAAAATGACTTGTACAAATGTCGATACGATGACCTCAGTCAAAATTCATCGAATTTTGTCTGACGTGAAATTAAGATAATAATTTGATTAGGATAGACACACCGTGTATCTAATTCAGACTTGAAAATTTTTCCTATTCCAGCTATGTATATATATGTTGAAGATAATTATTATGTGAAAATTTATAGAGATAACGATATTTTGAATTTGCATATATATATTTCTTGGGATATAATCTTCAAATTAAATGGTAAAGGTTGAAATTTTTGTATTTCTCTGATAAGTCGGCGAGATGTGCACGATCTCACACAGGGGTATCTCGTACCTCTTCGGTTATAAAATTGCGTTTCACGAATAGACGATCCGCGGATGGAATCACTATGAAAGGACGATTTCGTCACTTCGTTAATATGGCAGGCAGGCCGTTGGACCAAAACGAAATCGACGGAGACGAAAAAGCCGGAACAGGACGGATCGGAGGCCAGTCGAACGCGAGAAAACGGCGACAGAAAAAAAAAGAGAAAAAGATATAAATAAAACGGTGCTGTAGTGCGGGCCAGGATTTCCTATTTTTCTCGCATAGTCGAGGCGAAAACGACGCGAACAAGTGCATGTAAGAGAAGGGAAAAAAAGAAAGATATAAAATATAGAGCAGCAGAGCGCAAGAAACGAAAAAGGATGATCCACACGCACTCATCTCATGACTCTCTTTAAAAGTAAACGACTGAAAGACTCTAGGCTGTACATAAAGTATAAGGCATGTATGTTCGGTGTTTTAAAAATGCAAAAATTCCTTATTAACGCAAAAAAAATTATACCTACGAAAAAAGTAAACCATATTAAGCAAGGCTACTCTCTCGGTGTTTTTTGGAACTAAACTTAAAATTTACCCTATTTAAAGCAAAAAAACCGTGAATAATGTAACTTTAAAGAAAGCGCGCGTAAACGCGAAAACAAGTTATATGAGTGTAAACGTTAAGGTCTCCTTAGGGTTAAAGAAAAAAAAAACACAAGAACAGCAACAAAGCGAAATGCAAGCTAATTATGATTGTGTGTAAACGTAAATTTAAACCTTCCCCCTCTTTACCCTGTGTCCGTTAGATCACTTTTTAACTGTCCACCTGTCTCCCTCCCCCCTCCCTTCACTGCCCTTTTTTCTCCCCTTCACTTCACACCCCCATTACACAGAGACACACTTTCGACAAAGATATATATATATATATATATATATATATATATATATATATATATATCACTCTCGTGTGTGATCCGAGCTACTCGATGCCTCGAAGTCTTTTTCTAAACATTCACCAGGCGTTATTATATTATATGCGAAAAGGAGGGAAATATGTTTATACACTTGTTCCGCGACCACTAATTCACTCATCCCCCTCGACACCCTCTTCCACAAACCGCCCTCCTATACCCGCGAACTCGCATCATCGACAACACCACACCCAGAAACTTAAGCCTCGATATCCCCTATCGAAAGATTTATCGTTAGATGTGAAAAAAAAATGATATTTATCGTGCGGATGATAGTAAAATACGTGCGTACACTATGATTGTCGTTAATTCAACTTACGGTTACGAGATGTTTCGTCACGACGTTTGGTGCGGTCTATAATCGGCGAGTCTCAAATCTCCGCGATCCACATTTTTTTCTTTATTTTCACGAGAGGACAAGTGATGCGCCGGGGAGGAAGAGGCCGTGAAAGTGAAAAGTGTGCGGGACCAACTGTCCGCATCCGGTGTCGTCGAAAATAATTCGCGGTTACCGCGGATATGTGTCTTTTTCGTCCATCGTATTGCTCGTAATTGAATCAAATTCTCTTGCAGGCAGAACTCGGTCGACGATCAAATTGTCGTTGGTTTCTGCAATTTTGCAAATATTCGAGAAAAGTCGATCGGAAGAGAAATTTGAATGATTAAAGTAACTTTTTTTTTCTTTTTTTATAGAGGCGGATTTAATTATCACGATTTATAAGAGAGATTTTTCACGAAGATGTTTATGTAAGTTTGAAATAAAAAGACTGAAAATTCAAAATTGATGAACCGAGCGGCCAAGGGAACTTCGATGTTTTCGACGCAGACGATGCGGATCAAATTGACTCGCACAACTTGGGATGGGTTCGCGACAGTTAGTATTGACACGTAATTAACGAGAGACGTCCGTGTAATAATCCCCTAGCGATACATGTCTGTCGTGGCTGTTTATAAACTATCTACATACATCACTTGGTTCTCTCGTGACAGGAACCGAAAATTCAGCATTTCGTGCGACTTGAAAGTTGTAGATTGCTATGGCAGATGCCGATAGCAGATTTTTTCTGGCGATTTTTTTCTAAAGTCTATGCAGAAATCTTCGTTTTAGAAATTTGCAACTACACGCGATCGTCAGGAGAGTGAGAGAGAAAGAGAGATGAGAGAACTCGAGGCTAGGCAAGTATACCGTTGTAGACGCGATTGTTGAAGCACTGTCGATTTTTTCAGTTCTTTCTTTTACGGGAGAGACGGCGGGACGAGGCGACACGACGAAAGCTTCCCCTCCCCCAAGTCAAAATCGTATTATTATATTGTTCTCCGTTATCGAGAGATTAAGATTAGGGTCTCTTTTGTGCTCGCGTGACGACAATCTTCGTCCAACGACAATTGGCGGGAAAGATCTCTGATGTTCTTTTCTTTTTTTTATATCGTTATCTTTAAAATAGTTACTCCGAGGACAACGCAAGGATCTGAGAGAAACGCGAAGGACGTCCAAAGACATCTGGAAAATTAGGGTGTCTTTAGACTCGGTCTTTCGACTCGGTCTTTCGGGTGTTTGCGTTGCCACCGGAAGCGTCTTGTCCGTCTTCGGGAAGCACGATGATTGTCGTATCTGCGATAAGAAAAAAAAAAAGACATGCAAAAGAGACGTGTAACTTTGTTCTTCGCGGTCGAAGAATTCGGAAGAATCCTTTGGTCCATCGCGTCTGTGCGCATCCTGTCGTCCCCCCCTTTCGTCGCGGGCGATACGCTAAACAATCCGGCGAGTGACGGATTGGTCGAATATATACGGGGAGAAACAGAAAAATCTTTAAGAATTAAAAAAGATGATATATTATATTAAAATATCTGTGATGTAAAAAGTAACAAAATTTTGATGTATATTTTTCACAAATTATCGTAACCAGCTAGTGTATATGTAATAAGATTACGGATATATTATATATATAATATATATAAATATATATTATATATATTATATAGATATCTATATATATAAATATATATATATTGAAAAAGAAGAAAGACTATTGTAATTACGGTGTGCGAAGACAAAGTAAGGCAAGACGAGTGAGGGAAGACGACTGACGGGACAAAACGAGCAAACAAGGGACAGAAAGCGATAGAGATAAAGAAAGAGAGTGTGAAAGAGAGAGAGAAAGAGAGAGCGAAAGAGATAGATAGATAGGTAGAAAGAAAGGGATACGGAAGAAGCGTGATTGCGAAATTACGTTGATCCACACCGGTGGTCAGACGGGACCAAGATGGCGGGCATCGCTCGGAAAGTCGGCTCCAAAGATTCCCGTTTTTCGCATTTTCCCATTTTCTCTTACATCGGGACTCGATTCGGAGGGAAACAGAGGGATCCTCCCGCTCGGCCTCTCATCCTTCACGCTTAAAGGAGAAGGGAGGGGGGAGGAGGAAGGATGAGATCCCCTTTTCGGATCGCGCGGAAACAAAATCCTCCGACGATTCTTTTGATTTCGAAATGTGAACTCGAACTTGAATTCGGACGCGACTCGAACGATGGGAAAACTGGAAGATTTGGTCCGATTGGCCCTGAAACGGCTCAATGTCAGCTACCTCACAATATTGTCACGTTTGGTATGGTACGAAACGAGAAACGTTTGTGTGTCATGAACGTGGATAAAGAAAAAACGACTTTCTCTCTTATAACTTGATATTTTCCTTGAAAAATTCAATCATTTCATTGAAAGAATTGAATTGTAATAGTGAAAATTTCGCATCCCTCTGCATAATTTCGTACATTAATTTATCTAAAATTACCGTAAAAAATTGTTAATTTGTATAAAGATAGATTTTTGAAAATTTCTTTTCAATTGCAATTTTTAAAAATTTATTTTTATTTTAAATTGCTTTTAAATTATAAAATTTCTATATGATAACAATATGATAACAAGATTATTGAACGTTGGAATTTAAATTAGAAAAATATTTGTTAAGAGGATCAATACTCTCGATTTTTTTCATATAAGTTTTCTTTCATTTATTCTCGAGTTTTATCCTTCTTTTTGGTTGGTGTCGCGAGTAGAGGCTTCCACGGACACACGGACGTCAGCGGGACGAGGTCGTGTGAAAATGGTCTAAACAGTTCCAAATTGTGCCTAAGTTATGAGAGATTACGTTTTTTACGACTCGCAGTAGCACGAACGAAAAATAGATGACGAGTATCGTAGCAGCAAACAGATTCTCAGTTCGAGCGCGCTTGATCTGGACGACAAGGGCGAATACGCGATAGAGACAAAAGCGATATATAGAGTTTCTTATTAAAGTAAATTAAACAAGGGTGTAATATTACCTACAACATACGTTCCAGGGCCGTCCGGCCGCCATCTTGCGTTCAACCTTATGTTCCGTTTTTTCGAATAAGTGCAATTAGGTACACGAACACACACACGCGTACACTGACAGACATCTATTCATGCTCCGACGTACACACGAAACACGCGCGGGATCGCACACATACACACACATATACACACATTAAAAAAATACACGAGGAAAAATGGAGTAAAACGAACTGTTACGCGCTAAGTTACCGTTTTTTAAATTCTATTTTCAATTCACGCATTCTCGAATGTTGGGATTTTCGTGATCAACGAAGAGCTGGCCTGTCGTTCATATAGGGGTACACACATATACACACATATACACACGAGACACGTGTACACAATCAAGCGACCGACGTCGATTCGACGAAGAGAAGGGGGTTGCCATCGCGTTACGTTGCGGATCTTCCTCCCGAAATTTTTCGATGACACTTTGCGTTGACATTTGTCTCAAAACGACAACAGGGACGAAATCTTTGCATGCTCGATCTAAATTTCTAGGCTGCGATGCCCTCGGCTTGCCATTTCCGGTCGCGCTCGATGTGTTTAACGAGGATTCATTATCGATTCGGCGACGACATTTCACGTGGTTTTTTTTACATTTGACGACATTTATCATATATTTATACAAGCATCATTCATACTGTGGAGTTGATTTTAAAACTGATAAAAACATTTATTACACTTTGACAAATTGTTGATCATTACACACATTAGTGCTTTTCGTTATATTGTTTCGAGCCACTTCCTTTGTTTCCGGAAATGTTAATTGTAGAATGAATTAAACAGGATTCTTTACAAAATAGTTTAGTTTTATAGAATTATTATAAAGTATAAAATTAAAAGTAATACGAAACAACATAATTTAAATTATATTAGATTTATATTTAATTATATTTAGATGCTTATTAAAATGATTGTACATATTTATTGCTTATTTCTAAAAAAAATCTATCACCTGGATAATTTTGAAAATTAAAAAATTTAAAATACTATATTTTCTTAAAAGAAAAAAATAAGGCACAAAAATTCCAAAAACTTCTTAATTTTTCAAGTTTATAAATCTAATGATGATTACTGATTACACGATTTTATTCCATTTCGATAAAAGAGTTTATATATATCTTACATCTTGTGAAATATTAAATAAATATTATTTATTATAAAGTATTAAATAAATATTTGGTGTAAAACGCATGCAGGATTATTGTGTGATATCTCGTCGCTAAAATTAGAAAATGATCGAAGAGGGGGAGGGAAGATCCGCGCGTTCGCGAATCCGGCAAATCCACGCGAATGCGCCTGAACCAATGTAGTAAATCAGGAGAAGGTCTCTGTCGTCGGTCGAGAGAACTCGGTACCTTCCCGATCGAAAAGCTTTAATAGGCCGTAGTCATGCAATGACTCTAAAAGACAAAAAAAGCTC